ATATATTAATTATATATTATGTTATATAATTGTTTTTTATAATTAGAATAAATTTAATGAACCAATAAATGAATATTTTACAGTTTTACATAATAGTTCAAAAAAAACTCATTGCCATATACAATCAAATTTTAATAATTTATATTATATAATTTATAAGTTATATATAATTTATAATTTATATTTTTTTATACTTAGTATATCCACATTATATGGGCAATATTATTAAACAAGAATAATAATTCAAAAAACATGCAATGTTAAATACTATATGTTAATTTTACATGATATTAAAAAATGTTCATATGTAATACTTATATCTAAAGGTATTCATTTGCATCCACCTTTACCACCAAATCGAGTTTCACTAACTATATGAACACATTTACAAGAATTAATTCATCAAGCTGATAATAATACAACTGATATTATACCAACACAGATTTTAACAGATATATATATAAATTATACAAAATTTTTTTTAAAAAAACTAATTTTATAATTATATTTTATTTAGAAAATTTAATTAAAGTTTATTTTATAACTGAATACTTTATGAATATACATGCTTCTTTAAACAATACTGACCATCTTTGATACTATGTAAACAAAATACAAAAAGAACTCCATTCACAAGGACAAGGATTTCTTGGTGTTGTTTATAATTATTCATGTAATCTTAATAATATTTATGATTATATAAAATGATTAGATAATTTAAAAAATAAATTATAATTAAAGTATTATATACTGTATATATATATATATTATAACTTGATATTAATATTTTTAATAATTTTAAAATTTTTTGAAGATGATCATATAATGATAATTTGCACAACTAATGAGCAACTTTTAGAATGGTTAAAATGTAACCATTTTCAATTTATTTATCATATAAATGAGTAACTGGTGAAATCAACGAATTTGAAGTTAATAACTATAATACTAGACATAATTTGAGTGAGTTAATTGTTTTTATAATTATATACATAGTATTTTTAAATTATTAATATATATATTTATTATAATTTTTTAAGTTCTTACTTATGCCAGGGTTTTTACAAATTAAGTAACAACAGTTGCATATGAAAGAATTTTTCAAGCATTATTTGATCTTGTATTACAGCTAACTAGTTCATCACCTCAATTTAACCATATACACAGAGTTGGTTAGAAATATATAATTGCTGATTTAGATTATGCATAAGTGCAAGGTCTTGGATTAGTTTTAAATAAAATTAATCAAACAAAAAATTGGGAAGAACACTTGACCTATATTTTTAAATCCTGCCAAGTACATTATAAAAGGTAAATATATAATTTATCATTTATTTGTTTATTTATTTACTATTATTTTACTTTTATTTTTAAAGAAAAATTTTAGAAAAACAATATGATAATACTTTAAATAATTATATGCTTGCATTGCTTATGTTAAATCAGAGAATGAAATTAACCAATTATTTGACAAAATTGAAAAAATTAAAAAATGGCAGGTTAAGTAGTATTTTTTTATATATAAATGAAGGTTTAAAATCATATATATATATTTAAATTATTGTATTATTATACATATATTAGATTGGGTTTCATTTTATCGCCAAAGATGGGTTATTGCATCACTTAACAAATGCATGTCATAGATTGATAAAAAAACTTGGATATTATCACCTAGTAATACAAATATCGCAGAATCCTCTCATGCATTAAGTAATCGACATGGGAAAAACTTAAAATTGATATCTGTGATTTTACAGTAATCTTTTTTTTTTTTTTAACCTTTATAATTGTAATTGATATATTATGTTTTCTAGAGGATGCAAGTTAGATCAGGAAAAATTTATTGCAATTAATGTTCATCAACGATATAATATATCAAGTCATGGGCATGATAAAGGTTTAGTTAGTCGCAATGTTTTATCAATTAAACGTAAAGGTATGTAATAATTTATTTATATTATCAGTTATGTACTTATTAGTGTATCTATTCATATTTATTAAATTAATAGCAAAAATTCAAAAAAAAAAAAAACCAAAAATAAGCGAAAAAAAGTCCACAAAATCTAAAAAAAAAAAAAACCGAAGTAATCACTGTTGATTCCGAAGATTCAAGTGAAAATGATCATAAAAAAAGCCAAACAATTAATACACTTGAATATGAAGAACAACAATTAGCACTAAAAGAACATGCACTGGCTTAAAGAGAACGTGAAGCAAAAATCCATGCAATTGAACTAGCGAACCTTGAAAAAGTGCAAAAATTAAAATCTGAAATTAAATCTTAAGAGATAATATTAGAAAGAATGTTGCTTCAAGATATACAGAGCAAATAAATCGGGAATGTTTGATTTTAAAGGTTTAAAAATTATTGTTATTTTCAAAAAATAAATAAATAAATAAACTTGTAAAATCAAGCGAATTAAAATAAGCAATTATTCTTGTTAATGATAATTAGATATATATGTAAAATTTATAATTTTTTTTACTGTAAAAAAGCATCCAATGGATGAGTTTTAATAAAATCAAGATCTTTATGGGTTTGTATGTACCGCTCTCATAAAAAAAGATTTTTACAAAGTTTTTCAAGATATTTTTCGTATCGATATAATTAAATTATTTACTACTATACTATTTTATATATATATATATATATATATTCTGAGTATAGTATACTAATTTTTTACTGTATACTCAAATGCTTTTATTGCGGAATACTCTACTACTTTGCTTAACCATACATCACAACTATTCGTAATACCGATCTAGCGCTAGGGACTTTTAGTCATCCAATATATGACAAGTGCATAGTTTATGTCGGATGAAATAATTTAATTTTCGAAACATATGACTTAACCACGTTGTCCTTAACCAAAAAATGCCATTATCGACTTGGATAACTCGGTTCGCTCAAAAAAGTTATGGCTCCGGCCTGAGTTATGACTATTAGAGTTAGCTTGAGCCATATCTTTAGTCACGTTTCAGACTGTGGCTCAAGCCATAGCTTAAGCTGCAACTATAAGCTGTGGCTTAAATAATGGTGAGATGGCACGGCGACTAAAACAAACAAAACCTTATTATTTAAAAATATTTTTATTCAAGATTTCTTAACAAGCTTTTAATAACAAACTCGAACATGCATGGTCCCTTAAAATGCAGAAAAACAAACGATAGTCCCTCAAAAAGTCAAGTTTATTTGTAAAAGTTGTAGGTTATTCGAATCACAAAATGTAGCCGGTTTGATTTTTTTTGGATAAATTGTTATATAAAAGTTTTACTCTCACGTGAAGCGAAAGCAACAAATGAAATATGTCACATCGTAATCAATAATAAGACATAAAAATAATAAACCAATGATACAAAGCTATATAAGGAAACTATCATTTGTTATTCAAATATGGATCGTTGGATCATTGAACGATCGGTGAATGTGTAAGGGTGAGCTCGGAAGAAAATTTTCAAGATATTGATTGCATTTAACCTCTAATTAAATACGTATAAGATTTATTTATGCATATATAATTAATATAAATTTAGGACAAGTTAAGAGATCATTCTTAGAAACCCACTTAGCAAAAAATTAATCAGTCGTGATTGGGCTAATTTTGGGTCTGACCAAATCGGCCCACATGGGTAATGCAAAGTTACGTATTTTTTCATTAGAACCGATTTTGTTTTTGACTCTACTAATATGCAGTTCTGGCTGTGTTCTAAAATTATTAAATTTGCTATCTTTTAATTATTCGGAAATGTTATTCCTTGCAATAATATGATGAAATGAATGATTGTACGATATGTGCGCATAGTGATGGGGACTTTCGAGTTTTTAGTTAATAAAAAAAAAAATTTACTAATTAATTAATAATAATTAATTATTATTAATCAAAAGGTCCAATCATTACGTACGTACATGAAAATTATTTCAACAGTATTTGTTATTTGTAAGAAAAGGATTCATCCAAAGCAGTATCGATAAAGGAGCTACTGTAATACCAGAATACAATATTAATTATAATGTAGTCAGATTGGATCTGATGTTCATTTTTCTTCTGATCCTTAATTCCCAAAATTCATTGTCTTTTAGACATTGTATTACTACACACATACATATTAAAACAAAGAAAATAGGCAGCAGCTTCTAGAGCATCTAGAATCAGAAGCATTCTAAAGAGTTCTAGAATACAATTAAATGCTCATGCGTTATTTTTTTAAAACTATAAAATGAATGAAAAAGTAATTTTGTTCATACGTTTTTAAACCTATTGTTAGTGGGGCCTTATAACAGGAGGAAACGTTGATACGTCACAAAATCGTTACACAATTGATAAAAAATTTTTTTATATTATTTTACGATACTTTTTTGGAAGGCTCGTTTGACTTATCTTTTCTATGAATATTGAAAATGATTAAACAAACATGAAGCTCTCACTTTGCTTTACAACATGTTTTTTGAATCCCCTTGAACCCCATGGTTTCGTCTTTTTGTAAATTTCGCAATTTGATTGGTTGACTAATCCCATAGTGATATTTTGACTGGTCGATGCAATGAGTGATCTGTGTAACGAGAATGAAAATCATATCTATATTTGGACGTTTCCTCCTGTTGGGCCTTATACGAACTCAATCTGAGTTTGAAGCATCCTAATTCCCTTCACACTACAGTCAACTCTCGTTAAACCAGACCTGGAAAGACCGAACATTTAATATATCCTGAGACTTTTAAAATAATTTTTTAAACCGTCCTTTTAAAAAATTTTACATAAAAGCTCGGAAAGTTCGGTGTAGTAGAGTTGACTGTACGGTGTATAAGGTATATTTAAATAAGGTAATTATATTTTAAATTATATTTATGCTATTGATTATTTTTGATAATCCAATTTATATTACTATTTATTGTTATAAGTCGTTCATTCAATAATTCAGATCCCTAGGCCAATTTTACAACTTTACATTCTTTAAATTAACGGCTCTACTTTTTCATCAATAATCACTGTCTTAAAATGGCTAATCTTGCTGGAAAAGTCGCAGGCAATCCCGACTTACACAACGCGGACCCTACTACTGTTATACCTGAACTAGTTAATTCATGGGATCAACCAAATTACGTAACTGGATTCGATGTCCTTAAGTCCAGAGTCAAGCAAATTTGTAACGTTGTTCACAATGTTTTTGATTCCAAGATTATTCTCGAGATAGCTCGTCAAATTTGGACTGATTCCACTTCGCCTGAACAGCGAGATATGTATACTAATTTCGCGTCTCGTGTAAACCAGCAAAAATTTGGATGTCCAGTTAGGGATCCTGGCATTCTGATCGAACCACCCACTGAACCATTAATTTCCATTCCACCAACCAAAATTTCAGATTCGTTGTTGTATGTTGATGATATTTCTCAGTAATCTTTTGGTAATTAGGTGGCTAATATAAAGGATAGTAAACATTCATCTTCATAATCCTATCTAGACATATTCTATTTATAGACGTATATCTGTCGTATACCTTCCTTATATTATTGGAATGAGAAATTATCTTTCTAAAATATGTTGCATTTATTGTTATAATGAGAAATTGTTCTTTCCAAAATATGTATACATTACAGAAAGAGACGATCTGCTTAAATTTTGCAAAATTAATTGCAATTAAATTTTATTACAATTACATTTAATTAAAATTGTTATAAAAAAAAAAAATTGGGAATAATTACAAATAATTGCAATTTTTTTTTTTTTTGCTTTCTCTATAAACTTTGCTGTGATAGAAAATTTTTAGACTTTACTGTAAAATGTTCTATACATATATTTTTTGACGTATAGTAATTGTAAAAATTAATCGCATTGCTATAAATTGCCATTAACGGTGATCGTATACTATATCGATATCGATATTGCTAGGAAAATTAACGCTAACCTTCGAGATTTTCCGATCAGGCCAATTCGGAAAAGAAGTATAAGATATTTACATATTGATATGAAAATCGATATTCCAATCGGCTAATTCATAAAAATTTAGACCGGAACTTCTTGAAGGTAGCAAAGATCCCACATCGGTCAAGTGTAATGTCAAATATTTTCAAAGTACGTAATAAGGGATCTGCAAATTGCAGCACATGCCTTGTGAAAAAAAAAGTCTTTCACCTCTAAATTAACATTTTATCTTACAATATAATTAGTATAACAAAAATTTTTTGTTATTTCATATTTTTATATTATCTATGTTTTTCCTTTTACGCCAAAATTTTTTGAAGTATCTTACTTTGAAAATGGTGTTTTGAGGCTATCGATGAAATAAAATTCGAAATTTGATTGTTTGGTACTCACGTTATTATCTACATAAGCTTAATGCTAACATTTATTTATTCTCATTTATATATTTTATTGAATATAGATTGAGTCGTCATTAGCCTTTTAAAGATCTAAACTTAATACGCTTTCAAAACACGCTCGAACCCAATCATTGCTCAGAATTTTTTTTTTTTTTTTACATATTTTAATATAGTCTCTTGATAATGGCTAAATAGTGTTTGAATTTCATTTAGAAAATTTAAAGAGGCTAATTTTCACTTAATTTTTTTTTCTAATTAGATATTATATTAAGGATTAGTTATAAAATATTGATAACAATTTCAAGATAAAATACGTATAATTTTGATTTAGATTTTACTAGGAAACAGAACCGTTGAGGTCCAGAGCATTAGTATTTAGATTTTAATTTCATAGCTTTCCTTTAAAATTTATAATATATCATTTAAAGTAACAAGATTACCACTAACAACAATAATAAAGGTAATTTTAATATTTATTATCTCAATATCTTTTTTCTCTTTAGGCATGTATATACGTGAAGATATATAACAATTGCTGAATTATTGTAGCATGTCAATAATAAATAGAATGCTCTCAATTCAATAATTTCCTTTTACTTGATTTAATAATCTAAATACAATATAAAAATAATTTAAAAATAAGCAATAGATTTGGCTATTTATAAGTAAATCAAATATTACTTACCGTCCGGAACTTCATCAAATTTAATGTGTTGACTTGCTGAAATATATACATATAAATATACTAAAACTATGGTTTAAATCAAATTTAAGAAAATAAATATCATTACCTGTGGTACCTGCATTTACTATATTAACAGATTCAAAAAATTTTACAATTGATAGCATATTACTAATTTTTTAAAAAAACGAATAAATGTTAATTACCTGGTTTAGGGAGTTTGGAAAGATTCAAAAATCGGCTTGTATAAATAGCTTGCGGATGTGTCTGATATTTGAATTGTGCCGATTTGACTTGATTATATGTTAAGAAATTTTTGTGTAAGTCTTCAATATTTTTAATTTGCTTATATAATTCAGTTTTTCCATCTTTTAAATCTCTATAAAAATGTTTCAGTGTATTAGCTAATTCTTCAGCAGCTGGTCGGTTTTGAGGTTCTGCGTCTAAGCACTTATTCATCAGATCTAAAAGCAGTTGAGGAACTTTACAATTCTTGATATTGGGTCTACGACCTAGGCAAATAGAAATGCTAGACTATCATCATGCGGAATATCATGATATGGAGGATATCCAGTAAAAACTTCTGACATAATTATTCCGAAAAATAAATATCTGATTTTTGAGTGTATTCCTCTCCATTTGTATACAATACTTCTGGTGCAATATAGGGAAGCACACCAAATAGTGCTTTAGAATTTGAGTCTTGTGACACTGGCTTACATAAGCCAAAATCAGTAATACATAGTTTGATTGACTATATTTCCAGAATGAAAATCTTTATGCACTAATTTGGCTTTATGAATTATATTAAGCCCATCAGCTATATAAAATAGGTTAGTTATTTTAGAAGCCCAATTTAGTTCATCATATTTACTATCTAATAATTTTCGGAGACTTCCCTGCTTCGCATATTCCATAACCATCGTGTAGTTACCATCTTTTGGGTTCTTAGTTATTCCATAAATCGCAATTGCCGAATTGCCCCCATGTCTATGTTGATTTTTAACCTAATAAAATATTAATTAGGATAAATAAGATTACTATACTTTAATAAAAACAATTTATAATATTTGCTTCTTCCAAAAATTCTTGTTTTATATCTTTAGAATTATCAAGTCTTTTTAAGCAAACATCTTTCCGAAAACTTCTCTTCCATTCATTCTTCTTTCGATCGAACCTTGTAATATATCCGTCAATCCATACTGCCTTAAAAACAGTGCCAAAACCTCCTTTAGCAATATACTTTATATTTGCAAATTTGCTAAAGGATATCCATTCAATAATTTCCTTAAACTTTAATGCATCAAGTTGTGTTTGTTGAATCAATTGATCAATGTCGTTATTGTTACTTGTCCAATTATGAAATTCTCTTTTAAACCTTAGTATTAAAACATAATTAATACAGTATAATAAAATTAAGAGCTACAATTGCAATTGCAAAAAATAGCTAATATATACTTCCTATCATGGGTTAACGTAGAATTATTTATTGCATTAAAATTATCGACACTTTTGATTGCTGTAAAAAATTCAGTTACTGTACTTGCTACAATGATTCCAAATGATTTAAATATGGCTATGTCATTATTATTGCTCGATCAGCTGACTTTATTCCAACAAATTGGATGACTTTATTTAACAACACTGAAAAACATATGGGATAAGGGCTCGCTACCCTCAACGGCTCTAATATACATAATCCTAATACACAATTACAGAGACGTAGACTTATTAACAATAAACAAAAGAACACTAATAATGCTTCACATGTCCCACAGGTAAAGTAATCCATCTAAATCAAAAGTACAACAATAAAGCTTCACATGTCCCACAGATAAAGGGATCAATAAACTCATAGATTTAAATGCTTTTATATAGAGAGAGAATGTCACTCTCCCATAGCTGCAAAGAGTATTATATATATGCTCATGCCAATATAGGCGGATTTTCATTCTTAATATGGTTTTCACACAGCAACTTTCAGCTGCGGAGCCAAAAATATAATTGGTCCTTGCACTGCCACCAGCAGCCGCGGAGCCAAATACCAAACGGTCCTTGCACTGCTACTGCAGCCGTGGAGCCGAACAACAGGTCCTTGCATTGCTACCGCAGCCGTAGAGCCTGCTATAACAAAACAACATGGCTTGCTTAACTTCAGGAGGGTAAGGGAGGGAGGGCGATAGAGCCAGCCTTTACAAGGCGAGCAATAGCGAAAAGAAAGATAACCTTCTTTACTGAGATTATCTACCTTAAATACTCTTCAACCTTTTCACAATACTGATTCATCCCCGAATATAGCCAATATCCCTTACCCTGCCACCGATTTAACAATACTCATAACAAAGCGAAATTCCAAAATTCATATGCTAATCACCAATTACCTGTAAATACAAGTTACAACAATAATCAAAGAATTACCATAAAAGGATACATAAAAAATCCAGCATATAACTGGCCATAAAGTCATCTGATTTCGCAATAATGATCGCCCTGTCACTTCGTTGACAGGCTTTTCAGTTTTGTATTGGAATGAACATGATTTCTATAGTGATTTACTGAATACATTCTTACCGACTATTGTGATGATACAAGTGATTATATATGGATATGTTAGTTTTGTATTCGAATGAACGTGATTTCTATAGTGATATACTGTAAAACATTCTGGTTTACTGTACTTACGAGCTATAGTGATAAAGTGATTTAAATATAGATATGTTAGTTTTGTATTGGAATGAACGTGATTTCTATAGTAATTTACTGTAAAAAATTCTTATAGACTATTGTGGTGATACAAGTGATTTAGATATGGTTATGTTAGTTTTTTATTGGAATGAACGTGATTTCTATAGTGATTTACTGTAAAAAATTCTTACAGACTATTGTGGTGATACAAGTGATTTAGATATGGATATTAGTTTTGTATTGGAATGAACGTGATTTTTATAGTGATTTACTGTAAAAAATTCTTACAAACTATTGTGGTGGTACAAGTGATTTAGATATGGATAATAGTTTTGTATTGGAATGAACGCGATTTCTATAGTGATTTACTGTAAAAAATTCTTACTGACTATTGTGGTGATTTAGATATGGATATGTTGGTTTGTATTGGAATGAACGTGATTTACTGTAAAAAATTCTTACAGACTATTGTGGTGATACAAGTGATTTAGATATGGATATGTTAGTTTTGTATTGGAATGAACGTAATCTCTATAGTGATTCACTGTAAAAAATTCTGCTTTAGTGTACTTACTCGCTATAGTGATACAAGTGATTTAGATATGGTTATGTTAGTTTTGTATTGGAATGAACGTGTTTTCTATTGTGATTTACTGTAAAAAATTCTTACCGACTATTGTGGAGATACAAGTAATTTAGATATGATTGTTGGTTTTGTATTGGAATGAACGTGATTTCTATAGTGATTTACTGTAAAAAATTCGGGCTTACTGTACTTACGAGCTATAGTGATACAAGTGGTTTAGATATGGATATATTAGTTTTGTATTGGAATGAACGTGTTTTCTATAGTGATTTGCTGTAAAAAATTCTGCTTTACTGTACTTACTCGCTATGGTGATACAAGTGATTTAGATATGGATTAGTGATATGGGCCAACCCCGGCCCTATCGGCCAGGCTGACAGCAGGCCAAGGGTCGACCCGTAACTTTATGAGCAGCCAGGCCAATTAAGATATAATATTTTTTTCATAAAAACTGCATTATTATATTGTATAAATTTATAAATGCATCATAATATTGTAAACTAAAACGTTATTATTAGTTTATCTATATTAAATTTATTAACATTTATATAACTAACATATGAATGAATACATATTGTAGGTTAAGTAAACAATAAATCTTATTTTTATTTTTTTGGTGATTAAAAATTTTCTATTCTAAATTTTAACTTAATAAATTTCTTGCATATATTTAAAAATATGCTAATTATTTCTCATAGCTTTTCATAAAGTTTGATTACCTTATCAATTTTGTTTCCGCTCTTTTTTGGGCTTCTTTCATTTAGCAAACCGTTGCTAGTTATTATAATCATACAGGTTATTAATTACTTACCTTATACGGCTATTCTGCGTACACATAACACATGACCTTTCTTGACGGTAATTTGATCTGGTACCACTAACCAAAAAAGTAAGGTAATTAAATTCATAGTCACGCATAAATTCTGAACACGAAGGAGGAATAATGCCAAAATTAGTGAGGCTGCACTAAAGGCTGTGCAAATAAGTGTGAAAATTTAAAGTAGATCTATATAACTTTCGAATTCACGTAAAAAAGAATGAAAAAAATCATTATGAATAGAATTAGATGAAGAATCAGAATTAGAAAAAATAGATCAATACTTCCCATTCAAAGCCCCAAATCAAGATTGCTATGAAATTTTTTTAATTATTTCATGAATTAGAATAGATGAAATAGAATGTGATAGAAAGTTTTGAGAATTTATAAATATACACAAATTGAGAATTCTGAGTTTTCCTTCGCCTATTTATAAAATTCTTCAACTCTATTTTATAAAGTTTCGCATTGTGTCATATTTTACCTTACTAAAGTTTCTTCAAAATAATAGTCTTGAGTATTGCCTTCGTTATCAAAAAAAATTTATCCTAAGATTTTTTTAAATAATAAAGAGCGCTCCTAAAACCTATATCAAACTTCCAGGTTTTTTTTTTTCTTTCTTTTTTTTTTAAGGCTTTAATTGTTTAAGATTTCAAAAAAATCATGAAAAAGCATAACACTTACTCTAAAAAAAAAGATTGGACCACAATATGTTTAAATTATCAGAACCCTTGAATACAGATAATACTGAATCATTTGAAAATCGACCTAAAAAAATATATAAAGTTGAACAATCAGTGTATAATTCTGTAACTGAAAATGCGAATGAAATTGACAAAATTTCTAGCCAAGAATCCTATGATTTAGCATCTCATTTGCTTCATGAATCTCAAGAACAGCCTGAAAAATTAAATGAGTTATGCTTAAATGAGGATAATAGACAGATTTCTCTTGATCAATCATTAAAAGCTCCAAGTGTTAAGATATTAACAAATAAGGTAGTTAAGTCTAATGTAACATCGGGAAAAGTTAGTTGGGTTTAAAAAGGACAAGTCAGCAGGGGAGGTCAAGTGTGATGTAGTTATGTTAGTAGATGGAAATGAAAACAGATGTGATAAAGTTTTTAGCATTACAACTTTAACTACACATCTTGAAGAACATCTTAATGCGGTTCACAGAATTTTTTCTTATCAAAAATACAAAAAAGATTCGCAAGAGCAAACAATCATAAAATTCGATCAATCAATTCAAACAATACCTTCAATGTTTTCAAAAATAGTGCCTCATAAATCAGAAAAGCAACAAAAATTATTGTTTCATTTGACGGCATGGATTGTTGAAGATTGCCAGCCTCTATCTGTTGTGAAAGAACAAAAATTTCATCAATTTTGTTATGAAATGGATCCCTGTTTTAAAGTTCCTAGTTCATCACTAGTTAGAACAAAAATCAGAGAATCATTAATTTTTGCCAAAGATCAATTACATAAATTATTATTCGAAACAATGAAAACATTTTCTTTCATGACAGATCTATAGACAAGTATGCATCGCCCTTATATTGGCGTGACTATTCATTGGCTTTCAAAAAACTTTGATTTATATCAGGCAATCTTGACTATTGAAGAATTTCCATATTCACATTTAGGCGAATGCCTCAAACAATTTTTGTCCAAACTTTTTGATCATTGGGATATAAGTAATAGGTTAATTTGAGGAACTACTGATAATGATAAATCAATCATAAAAGGAATATATCTTTTTGAAAAACCTCATATCAGATGTACTGCACATACCATTTAGTTAGCTATAAAAGATGGTCTTAATGCATGTGATGATCTATTAATTAAAGTAAAAAAATTAAATAATTGGTTAGTAAAAAGAGACTGATACTGCCAGAGTCTTCGTAATATTCAAAATGAACTTTTTCAACAGTCAACAAATAGATCAGAAGACTTGGAATAGCCGTTATTAGGTGATAATGACTTTGAATCAGACTGTGATGACGTATTATCAGCACAATCAACATCAATACAGCCAGTTGAATAAGTAAGAAAAAAAAAAGTTTCTATTGTAGAACCTATTTGTGATATAAAGACCTGGTGGAACTCTACCTATTTTATTTTAAAAAGGCTAGTTCAATTACGAGATACTGTAGAACAACTCGCAAAATCTTTAAGCCATTATTCAGAACAACAACAAAGAAAAGATGGGCAAAATTTAAGTGAGAAATTGTTATCAAAATCTGAATGGAATGAGTTGGATGAATTAATATTACTTTTATCGCCCTTTGCACAGTCAACCAAGTTAATTAGAGGTTCACAATACCCAACTCTCGGTATGATGCTCCTTACTATTTCCCTTTTATCTTCACATTTGCATTGTATAAAAATATCCCTTACTTCATCCAAAATTTTAAACGTTTGCCAACTAATCGAGGACTCTATATCTGCTTGCTATGATTTACCTTTAACTGAAGCTTATGTTGCCTTCTATTTAGATCCCTGATTCAAAAATTTGTCTTTTGCTACTAATGAAAAAAAAAAGAAAGTTTTAGATTTAATATTCGAAATGTTAAAAACAATCAATACTAATATTAATACCCCAGCAAGAACTGAAATGGATCAGTTTTATGATGGTGAAGTTTCTAATCCTGCAGTAGATGATGAGTTAGAAAGATACAAAAAAGTGACTCAAATAAACAAGTACTTCATTGAAGATTCTCTCTATAAAATACATAATTCTCTTATTTGGTGGTGTACAAATCAGGAAGATTATCCGAATCTAGCAGTACTGGCATGTAAATTCCTCTCTTTCCTAGCCACTTCAGTGCCTTCTGAATGATTATTTTCTGATGCGGAAAACGTTCTTACAAAAAAATACAATTGGTTAGATCCAAGCCTAGTTCATGATATACTATTTTTAAAATCAAATTTTACGCTTTTTAATGTTTATCCTGGGTTCGAATAAAAAATTTTATTAAAATCAATGAAATGTTAAAATACATCATAGTTTAGAGTAAAACTTTTGCTGAATTGAAAATAAATATTTCTGTATCTAAATATTTGCTTTAATAAAGTCAAAATACACATTTAGTTGGGGCGAATAAAACAAATATGTATAACAGTAAAATACGTGAAAAAAATATGTACTGTACCGGCTTATATATATATTTGAATTCAGTGATTTAATTGGTCGAAATTTTTTTTATAGATAGTGTGGCCCGGTCGGCCGGGCCACACTATGTTAGTCTCGGCCCCGGCCCAAGGCTTTGCTATCAGCCCATATCACTAATATGGATATCTGATATGTTAGTTTTGTATTGGAATGAACGTGTTTTCTATAGTGATTTACTGTAAAAAGTTCTTACTGACTATTGTGGTAATACAAGTGATTTATATATGGATATGTTAGTTTTGTATTGGAATGAACATGTTTTCTATAGTAATTTACTGTAAAAATTCTTATAGACTATTGTGGTGATACAAGTGATTTAGATATCTTTGCAGAAACCTCTGATTTTGCTAAATATATTTATTATATAATAATTATATAATAATTATATATTTAATATATTATTTTTTAAAAATATGTTAAAGGTATTATTAAAATATATTAAAAATATTTTAAAAATATCTTAAAAATATCTTTAAAATATTTTTATAATTCTATTAACTCTCTTATAACTATATTGCTAAAATGTATTTAAAATATTTTAAATATATAGTTTAATATTATTATAATATAATTAAAATATATATACTAGATATATAATAAATATATTTTTTATTAAAAAAACAAATATTTAAAATATTATCATAAGTAATAATAATAGTAAATTTATTTATTATTATATACAATAATTATTACTAATACAATTTATTAATTAAATATAGGATTATATTATATATAAGAAAAATTAAAATAATTAAGTTTTTTAAAAATCGTTTATAACTATAAATCTTTATTATGAACCTATTTTAAGTTTATTAGTAAAAAATATTCTTTGACCAATTTTATATATAATTTGTCTATTTTGAATTTTAATTGTAACTTAAATTTATAAATATTTATGATTAATTTTATAACATTATTTTTTATTAGCTAAAAACAAGCTATTAAAAAGGTAGTTATAAGTAAGTTAATAGAATATTAAAATTTTGCTAATATTTTAACTATATTTCAACTATATTTTAACTATATTTTAACTATACTGTAAATATATTTATCAAAATATATAGGTTTCTGCAAAGAATACTTTAATTAATAAATGTTCTTACACTTACTTACTAAATTAGCATGAATAAAATAAAATTACATACTAAGTTAATGCAAATAAATAAAATTAAATAGTAAATATTTATAAACTTGAATAAATGAATGTTCTTTATATTTAGCCACTAAATTAATGCGAATAAAATAAATTAAATAGTAAATTTCATAAACTTGAATGGCTTTTTTAAATACTTTGATTAATAAATGTTCTTTATACTCACCTACTAAATTAACGCAAATAAAATTAAATAGTAAATATTCATAAACTTGAATAGCTTTTTAAATACTTTGATTAATAAATATTATTTATACTCACTTACTAAATTAATGAGAATAAAATAAATTTAATAGTAAATATTCATGAATTTGAATAGCTTTTTTAAATACTTTTGATTAATAAATGTTCTTTATACTTATCTATTAAATTAACTCAAATAAAATAAAATTAAATAGTAAATATTCATGAACTTAAACAGCTTTTTTAAATACTTAAGATTAATAAATATTCTTTATACTCACTCACTAAATTAACATGAATGAAATAAAATTAAATAGTAAATATTCATGAACTTGAATAGCTTATTTTAAATACTTAGATTAATAAATGTTTTTTATATTTACTTCCTAAATTAACAGAATAAAATAAAATTAAATAGTAAATATTTATGAACTTTAATAGCTTGTTTTAAATACTTAAATTAATAAATATTCTTTATACTTACTAACTAAATTAATGCAAATAAAATAAAATTAAATAGTAAATATTCATGAACTTGAATAGCTTATTTTAATTACTTAGATTAATAGATGTTTTTTATACACATCTACTAAATCAATACAAATAAAATTAAATAGTAAATATTCATGATCTTGAATAGCTTTTTTAAATACTTTGATTAATAAATGTTATTTATACTCACCCACTAAATTAATAAGAATAAAATAAATTAAATAGTAAAGATACATGAATTTGAATAGCTTTTTTAAATACTTTTATTAATAAATGCTCTTTATACTCACTTATTAAATTAATGCAAATAAAATTAAATAGTAAATATTCATGAACTTGGATTTCTTTTTTTAAATACTTTGATTAATAAATATTCTTTATACTTACCTATTAAATTAACACAAATAAAATTAAATAGTAAATATTTATAAACTTGAATTGCTTTTTTAAACACTTTGATTAATAAATATACTTATACTTACCCATGAAATTAAACCAAATAAAACAAAATTAAGTAGTTAATATTCATGAATTTGAATAATTAAGATTAAAAAATATTTTTTGTATAGTACTTATAGACTAGATTTATGTAAATAAACTATTTTGAGTATATTATTTAAATATAAATTACTATAAACTATTATTATTATTTTTTATCAATTCAGCAATCTTGCCAATTACTTATTAGGCTTTATTATTAATCAACTTGGACTAAAAATATTTATGTAAGGCAAAGCCTTTTACTACTTAAAACTACAAGTGTTAGCTAATCTAGTTATAACTTGTGTACCTGTGTTTGATTTGCTATAATAAGAATTTATCTTTATTAATATACTCTGCTTAAGTATATTAATATCTTACCAGATAGTTCTTATAGTCTATTAAGACTGCCAACTTTCTCTTCTAATTTTTTTTCTTCTTAGAGAGCATTAAACAAAAAAAAAATGGTATAAAAATCAAGATATAAAAATAAAAAAAAAGAAAAAACAAAAAAGAAAAAAAAAAGTACAGATTTTGAAAAAAAAAATATAAAAAAAAGTAAAAACAGTATTAATAGCATATTTAAGCCTAGCCAAGGTCTAAAAAATTATATACTAATTGCAACTTTAATATATTTTGATTGTAAAGTTTAACTTTATTATTAAAAACTTGTTTTAGACATATTATCAGAGTTAGATATCTCTTAAATAGGAATACTAGTCTCTTCTCTATACTATAGCATTACATCAATAAACAAAATAGATATGTGATTATATTTTACTAAGTTTATCTAAATTAAATAGATACAAATAATGCTAATTTTTTAGAAGAGATAAGCCAAATTATCTACTTTTTTTAAAAATTTTGGTAAAATTAACAAAAAGCAAAAAAAAAGAGAAGTGATATCTATATTATTACAAAGAAGTATATATTTTTTTATTAAAATTACCAGCAGTTTGAACTATTTATACATAGTATTAAGTTTTTTTAATAAGTGATAAACTTTAAACTTGTTAGCAAATAGCTAGGGTTCGAGGCACAGGGGCATGGGCATGCCTTAGAGGTATACCTATAGGCATACCACTTGGCTATTAGGCATGCCCTAGTTATGTATTATGTGTGTTGTATCTGATTGGCCAGCATGTTATAGTTGAGATCATCAGAGTTGTAAATTTTTTAATATTTAATTAGTATAATAACAACAAAATTTTAAAAAGTTCTGTAAAAATCTTTTA